GGGAGCACAGGAGACACTTCAGGATGGAAATTCTCCTAATCTGTGTTGCTTGGTGTGAGGAGACAGCTTTGGCTCTGGAAGGGACTTGCTGACCTGCTATTTCTAAAATGTCATTTGAGGAGCTGTCCAGGACCTGGCAGCCCAGCCCAGGACATGCTGCTGCTCTCCTTGCAGGCACTTTCTGCTGCTGCTGACAGCTGTCAGAGCAGATTCTTTCTCCCTGGCCGTGCTGCTGGGGGCAATGTCTGAAGGAAACACACAGGGCTGGGTGTGTCTTGTCCTGTTCTTTTGAGAGTTTTAAAGTTCTGCTAAAAGTTTCTCCAATTGTCACACTATGACACAAAATAACTCGCACACAGACACTAGATGTAAAAGGGGAAAGAAAAGAACCCAAAGAACAATTTTATTTTCTGACTCTGTGATATATACAACAGAAAAAGTGACAGTGGATTGGAGGGTGAAATTGCCACCTCTTCAACCACACCAATCAAACCAACAGTCCAACAATTCTTTCCCCCCACAAAGAAAAATGCAAAACAATCATTATTTACATGAACAGTGTGAGAAAATTCAGTAGAGCTATGTAAACATCAGAAGGCATAAGAAACTTTTAGAAGAACTTTAAAACTCTCAAAAGAACGGGGTGACAGATGTGCTGCTAGCTCTGCCCCAGGCAGGAGGGGGTTCCTGGGGGGGGTCTCACCTGAGCTGATGGATGCTGATGATGGGAATGACAGTCTTAAGCTGCACCAAGGGAAATATAGGCTGGATATTAGGAAAAAGTTCTTTATGGAAAGAGTGATAAAGTGTTGGAATTGTCTGCTCAGGGAGGTGGTGGAGTCCCCATCCCTGGGTGTGTTTAACAAAGCCTGGATGTGGCACTGGGTGCCAGGGTTGAGTTGAGGTGCTGGGGCTGGGTTGGACTCCATGATCTTGAAGATCTCTCCCAACCCAGTGATCCTGTGAATTCTGTGACATCCCTCTGCAGGCAGCCACTCCTGGAGCATGGATCATTGCACTGACTGGAGAGCCTGGCCTGATGCCTGACCTTGCTGGTGGATAGTGGAGCACTGAGTGAAGCTGCTGTGCTTTTTGGGAGCTCTCTCTGTGACAGTGCCTGTGGGTCTCGTGTGGTCAGGAGCAGCTGAAGGATGTGCCTGCAGGGAGGGTCTCGGGGTGACATCCCTGATGGGGGATGCCAGCCATGAGCACTTGGCAGCCTCTGAGCAGCAGCAGAATCTGCCTGAGCCCTTTCTGTGCAAATGTTCATTACAGTAATTATTCACTGGGATTCTTTTCCTGCAATGGCCTCAGCACAGGGCAGGTGTGTTCTCAGGGACACAAAGGAGAAGCAGCATCATTCCTCTTAACCTGGAACTGCGACAAAGCCATAAAGTCACTTTTCTGCAGTCTCTAGCAAATTTGGGAAATGAAGCTGGGTTTGCTGTGGCTCAGGGCCTTTTAGTCTCCCAATCCTTCCTGATAGGAACATTTCTAGTTAGCCAAGATGATGGAGCAGACAGTAAACCACATTTACATTTTTTTATTTTTCAAACAGTGATTTGGAATACTTTATTGAGCAGCAAAATGAATTGCATCTGCTCATCCCCCACTCCCACGTAAAATACAGAGAGGTTTTCTCCAGGATCATATTCCTTTCAAAAGGGTTTTTTGTACCATTCTCTGCTCAGTGCCAGTCTGGGAAATATATGCAGCCATTTGATAAATATATTGTGAAAATCAGGGTTGAAGTGGCAATCTGCCTGCAGCAGAGGAATAGCTACAGGGAAAAATGGTAAATAAGATATCTGTAAGTAAATTAATTTTGCTCATATAAGCTTGTTTGCAGCTTTGGTTCATGTCTCAGCATTATCCTCTGCTCTACAGCAGGTGTTCAGTGTTGTGGGGGATCAGGGACAGCAAAGCTGTGAAGGAGCGGGGAGATGGTGGTGGTGAAATTTCTGTTTTGCTGGGATTTCCGATCATGGCAAGGTATGGTTGTGCCACAGCCTGAAAAACTGCAAATCCACCGTTGATTTAGCCTTGCAGAAATGAATAGTTGCCTTTTGTACTGAGTTTATGCACAAAGAGGCTGGGCTGCACATGACTGATTTGCTTATTCAGAAATCTTTGCTTTCCAATACAGTTTTGGAGGATTTATCAGTGAAAAGTAATCCTTCAAAACAGCAGAACTTGAAACAAAGCCCAGCTCTACAGATGAACTATTATTTTATTTAAAGCCTGCTTTTAGCAGCACTGTATTATTTGTTTCAGCAATGTATGAGTCTGTTTTCATTTTGATGGGATGAACTGATTTATGGGGTTTATCTTCAGTTTATCTAGTTCAGTTGTCAGTTATCTGAGGATTTACTTTGCAGCCTGTGCTGTGGGTTAGAACTGAGCAAGTTTGCTTCAGCTTTTGAGGGGGAGACACCCTGGGTGCCTGCTCTGGGTGCTGAGGAGCTGCTCAGGTGACTGACACAAGCATCACTGTTTGCTGGGCTGCTCTTCCCAGTGCTCCTGGCCTTTTTTCCTGCTGGCTGAGCAGCATGAGACTCACAAATGTTCACTGCAGGTGGGTGGTTTGTGGGCTTTCACACCCATCCACAAGCAACGTGGGCAGATTCTTCCTTGCCCTTGCTCCCACAGAAGGGGAAAACCTCATGGCAGGAGGAGGGGAGGAGGTGAAGGAGCTGCAGGCTTCAGCTGCAGATTCATTTTCCTCTTGGTGCTGCCTGGGTGTGAGGTGAGCTGTGAGTGTCCAGGGGCTAAAGCTGCATCAAGGAAAGGTGGTTTGTTTCTCTGTAGGCAGAAGAAACAGCTTTCAGCACAGGGTAGCCTGGAGGCTTCCTCCTATCCTTTGGGCAAGATGGGTTAAATGGTGGAAGCATTTTTGCTCCCTCCTTGCCTTCATTTAGAATGATTTCTGTGATGTCCCAGCCTGCCAGGAGAGCTGCAGCCCAGCCCTGGCAGGGGCTAATGACAGCAGGGATGTGGCTGGTGCAGAGCAGCCCTGGGAAGCCCTGATCCACAGGCAGGGCTGGGGGCTGACTGTGCCTCCCTGGGGCTGAGGAGATCACCTTCCCACAGAGCCAAGCATGCAGGCATCTCCCACGTGTGTCAGTGGGAAATGTGCTGCTCCCAGGCTCTGCAGAGCAGGGAGAGCCTCTGCAGAAGAGCTGGGCTGACTGCAGGCTTGCAGTAGCCCTGAGCTGGTGCTCCTTGTTTAGCTCAGAAGCTCTCCAGACTTCCCAAAGGCATTTTGCAGACAGCAAATCCTCGGTGGACTTCCCACAAATGGGTTTTGCAGGGTCACTGCTGCCTTGCTGGTTTGCAGCCTGGGTTTGGGGTTTGCAGAGCAGGGAGGTCTGGCAGAGGGGAGGCTCGTGCTGCTTCCCCCTGGGTTTGTGTGCAGTGTGTGCTGGACTGAACCCCACTGAACCCCTCCCCCAGTGCCTGCACCCTGGCTCCAAAGGGGATTTGTGCTTCGGGATTGATGTGTTTAAATATAGTTTTAATAGAAGCTTCTAAAGCTGATCTCACCATTTCATTACTGTTTTGAGTGAGTGACACTTCTGTCAATTAGTTTCAGGCAAGCCTGCAGAAAAGACAGGAGGGGGGAAAGGAGGTGAACAGTGGGATGTGGAGAGGAGCATCTTAGATTTGGATATTCCCTTTCTGTGACACTGAGCCCAGCTTGTCTCCCTGTGATTGGCACATGACCTACGGTGAGCCTCCAGTCAAGATTTTAATCTGGTTTTCTCATTGATATAAAAGGTTGCTTGAGCTTGGCTGCCGGGGGGACTCAGGACGTCATCCCTGTGCAGCAGAGTTTACTGTAGTTTGTTTAACTGAGCACTGCACTGCTGGGCAGCTTTGAGCCCAGCTCCCTGACAAGGGTTCTGAGTGCTGGTGCTGGATGGGGCTCTTTGGACTCGCTCACCCCCAGCCCATCCTCATGTAAATTAAATGTAGCTGCAAGTGTCACCTGGCTTGCAGGGATTTATGCACAACCTGCTTTGATTACAGAGAACCACAGCTTGCAATATTTCAGGGTTAAGCCTACTCTGGAATTTACTGGATGCAGGCTAGGATGCTGTGAGTGAAGTCAAGTACTCCTCTGTTATCCTCAGAAGCTGGGCACAGGGATGAAATGATGCAGTGTTGCATCTTCAGAGGTGATTAAATGTTGACAGCCATGTGCTGCAGAGGATCATTTCCTGCTCTGTGCTGTGCTGGGAAGACTGAAATCTGTTTTAAATTGGGACTGCAATTAGCATCCAGGAAACAGCAATTTTATGCAGCAGTTTTAGCTTTGTATTGCACTTTTGTGTTCTGTAGGTCTTTTCCTGAGGAAAAGCTGGTTCTCACCACACTTTAATTATTAAGTATTCTTGATTTGCAAATCACTATAGCCTTTATATACAGTGGGCAGCAAGATTAATGGTGACCCTGGAACTGGATTTGTTGTTAAATTCTGCTTTTGCTGACCATGTTGCACATGGCAGTGTGGAAGTCACCAGGCTTGGCCGTTCTGTGACACTCTCTAAGGCCCTACAGGGCAGCAGAGAGACTACTGGGGAGCCCTAAATGGCTGTGGAGTTGCTGTTGTGCCTGTTGGGTTTCAATACATGCCAGAAGCTCTTGTATCCTATAAATAAGAATTGAAGAGGTCAAAAATTCGACCCTTGGCCCTCAACTGTTGGGATGCTTCTCCCAGTATTGTAAGCTCTGGTTGGCTGTAGGTCTGGCTACAGAAGGAGAAATGCTTTTTAGCTGTGTCACTTGTTACACATCAGATAAAATCTCATTTTTATCTCTTTCTTGTCTAGCTCAATGCCTGGATTTGCCTTTTAATCTGAGTGTTTGTACCTTGTTTACAGCCAGCCAGTATTTTGCCTTCGCTTTCTTGCATGCTGGAAGAAGGCAGAAATGACTGCTTATGTTTGTGCTGAATGAACATTTCTATTTGGTTTACCTCTGTTTGTGATTCCTCTCAGGTATTTCATGGAGCCATTGAGCACTAACATCACTTTGCTCATCTGAGAGCAAACAAGCTGGACACAGCCATGGGGGACTCTCCAGCAAATGTCGTGGATGGAGGCATGGACACACAGACTGAACTGGTGGAGAGGGTGGCAGCCATAGATGTGTCTGTTGTCCCAGACAGAAAGGACCAAAATGGTGAAGACAACCCTGAAGAAAATGACACAGTCTTTTCTGATAACATAAAGGACATCCAAAGAAATGGAGTCAGCAGTGATGTGGGAATCAATGAATTTCTGCCTTCCCAACAGTCAGAAGATGCTCACTTGAGGCATGTTCCCAAGAGACCTCTAACCAGACCTGGTCTATCAAGTAGGAAGTTGTCCCTTCAGGAAAGATCATCGGGAGGTTATTTGGCTTCTAGCAACACTCCAGGTTGTGGTCCTTATTCCACAGGGCCATCCCCACGTATAATCAGGAGACCAACAATAGAGTCCAATCGGGTCTCCATATCAGACTCTGAGGTAGGCATGTTCTCCCCTACAGCTGAGGTGTTGAGGTAAGGTAAGTCTTTCTCAGGTGCTAATGGGAGCCTTCAGTCTTCTGGAGTAGTAGATCTGAAAGCACTATTATTTCAAAGTGTGGGGGGGAGAAAAATCCCTGGAACCAGGGGTGGTATAGCTTGGAACTGGAGAGCTCTGCTGGGTGCAGCCCTGGCCCTGACATTTGGCTCCTTTAGCCCTCACCTGCCTGGGATAGTCTTGCTAAGGGACCATGACCCTGTGTCATGGTGGCATGCAGGAAGCCTTTCAGGGTGTTCAGAGAAAGGGCTGTGGCCAAATGACTTTGCTTTTGTGTCCCTGCTGTAGGTGCCCTTGGGGAGTTCACCAGTCACAGCAGCTTTGCTGATGGTATTTTATGGATTTAAACTTCTGGAGATTAAGTATCTACTATTGTGTTTTGCCATAATTGAAGGCATGATTTAATTTTATAAAGAGCTTAAATGCCTGGCTCCTGTCAGGTTTTCTTTTCTCTTTAAAGCATTTGTAACAGCAGTGGTAAGGGAAAGCTGTGACCCTACTCTCCTTCAGAGGGGTGTCTGGGTGGCTGTGGCTGTTCTGCAGCTGCTCTCCTGGTCCCAGACCTGCCCTGGAGGAGCTGTGACAATGCTGTCAGTGGTTGAGTGTCTTGATGGAAGTGGGTGATGGCTGCAATTCCCAGTGCTGTGGTGGGGAGCAGAGGGATGTTCACACCACACTGCCCAGTGTCATGACCTAGATGCCTGTGGCAACACAGGGACCAAACCACTGGAGTTTAGACTTCTGCCAGTGTGGGTCCAAGGAACCTGGAGCGAAACATCTGTGTGGCTTGGTGTTTCCCTTTTGAGAAGTGGGTGTTTGCCCCTGAGAGGATGGTGGTGCACACCAAATCAGTTGTCCTCTGGGGAGTTGTGCAAGCCACATCAGCTGTGGGGCGGGTGGTGCATCCCCTGCTGATAAGAGGATACATGCAGAAGGTGCACTGCAGAGGCTGCAGCTTCTTTGACAGCAGCCATATGCTTTAATAAGGGAGGCAGGGAGGGAAAGCAGCCAGTTCTTGGAAGCAGGACGTGACTTGAGTGCCAGCTCTCCCATCCTGCAGTGCTGTGACTGTGCCAGGAGTGAGGCTTTTCTGAAATCTTTCAACATAACTGCAGTCAAGTGTGACTGGCACATTCCCATCTGCAAGCCAATTCAAAGTACTCCATCCTCTTCCACAGCATCTGCATCCTGGGGAGCAAGGGTTACTGCCTGGGGGTGGGGTGGGCAGTGTTTGGAATGCAGATGTGGAGCCCTGGTGTCCCTGCTCCTGCAGCAGCTCTTCACACAGTGCTGCCTTTTTCGTGATCACTTGGATATCACTGAGAGAGCTCTGCTGTGTAACAGAGCTGTGCCTATTGGAAACCATCACTCATATTAATGGGGAATGGCTGTGGGAAGAGTGGGAAGGGAACCTGGGCCAGCTGGGAACATTCTGGGGTGGGTGCTTGCCCTCACGTACTCTCAGGAGCTGTGCTGCTCCTTCCCACCTTATAGGGATAGCATCTGTACCCCATAAGGAACAGAAGGATTAGGAAAATACATGTTTGGATACAGGGTAAAATTTGAGGCTGGGCACTGGATGGTGAGCAGTGTGTGACAGCCAGGAGAGTGTGCAACCTGCACACAGCCCTGCTCCAGTGCCCAGGGTCACCACTGCTTCTGCCAGGTGGCTGTTAAGGGTTGTTGTGTTGGTGGCTGTGAGAGGCACTGCCAGTCTGAGGCTGTGCATGTGAGAGAGACAGCAGGGAGCTCTGACAGAACCAGAGAGCAGATCTTCTGTCCTCTGTCATGGATTCTAAAAGTTACCAGGCTCTCCATGTTGAGGCTTTTGGTCCTGTTTTGGATGAAGTCAGCCCATAATGAGAAATACAGTCATGGTGCTGCTGGTGGTCACTCTGATATGCAGACCCCCAGTGAGCAGCAGGACTGGTGGGTCAGTGACAACATCCAGGTCAGCAGGCATTGCCCTGACCTGCCTGCAAATGGCTCCTTATTCTAGGCAAGCTGCACATTTGTATTCCAGTCTGTGCCTCTCACCTGCTTAAAGCCATCTGGGAGTTGGTTCTTTCCCCTTGCTTTGGGTTTCTGGCATCCTCAGTCAGTGCCTTTCAGTAGCAGAACATCCATTGCTCCAGCTCGTGGCCACTGCCCAGGTCAGGGTCTGTGCAGAGCTGGAGCTGAAGTTCAGGAGCACTCAGGCTTTATCAGCAGCCATGTGCAGGCACTGTCTGTCAGGGGCAGGGATGGGTGGCACAGCTGCATGTCACAATTTCCTGTTGTGCTGATAGCCATCTCATCTGAGTCTGCTTCCCTCTCCAGCAGGATGGCAGCTCAGTGCCTGTCTGTCGCTGGTGCTGTATCCTGGACTGATCTGGAGAGATGTGCTGTGCAGAGACAGAGTGTGGGGATACAGCAGAGCTGAATGCTCTGCTTTCTCTGATGAATTGTGGAAGAACATTGTGTTCTCTTAGAGAGATACTACTGAGCTTTTTAATGCTGGTTTAATATTTGTTCACAAGCTGGGAGGAAAACTTCTGTTCAGGGATCAAGAGGTACAAGAGCTGAAGCTGAGGGAGGATTTATCAAGTGGCAGCAGCAGTGGATTGGGGCTGTCCAGTCACTGGGACCATTCCACAGACAGCTGCCTTCTGAGCACAGCTCTTGGATTTGTTACTAGGCAGGTGTAGCTCCTGGGCTGGCAGGGCTGCAGCAGGGCTGGGGCTTGTTGTCTTGCACAAAGGCTATTCCCAGAGACACCAGCTGGCCAACTGCCCTTGGACAAAGAGTTGGCAGCTGCTGGTGTCCTGCAGCCACTGCTGACAAGTCTGGGTCTGCAGTTTAGCCCTGCAAGAGAAGTAACATGTTCTGCTCTCCCAACAGTGTTACTGTGTTCTGTCATTTCTCTATCAGAAATTGATCTGTAATTTTAAAAGCTCCCTGTTTGTTCCCCTCTTTTCTTAGATTATGCATGGAAGGTTCTCTCAGTGCTGCCTTCCCTGGCAGGAGTACCTGATGGCATTTCTGCTGCCTTGCTGCCTATCAGTGCTTTGCTGTGACAAGGGAATGGCTTTGCCCTTAGCTGTGGCACAGAAGTGATTAAGCTGAAGCTAATAAGGGTACATCAAGCTGCAGAACTGAGGCACAAGCCCCAGAGTTTAGACCCACTTTGCCTCTGTTGATGTGACATTCCTGGCTCCTGCTCTGTGCTGGCTGCAAGGCAAGAAGAGAGGATTTTCCGGAGACTGCTAAAAGCAGCTTCTGCTCTGCTGCCCAGATGATGCCCTGTTGTTTGAATGTACCAGGGAAATACTCTCTGAAATCTTGTCCATGTGTTGACTGACAGAGTTTGTCCCACCTATAACAGCAGGTCTTGGATCTGTGAAAGGAGAGAGGTGCTGTGTGTTGGAATGAGGCATTTGAAAGTGCAGTGCTGGTGGGTTTGGTTTGCGTTTGTTTTTGTTTTGGGGTTTTGTTTTTGTTTTTTTTTTTTAATTCTGCTGTTTTAAAGCAACTTTTTAGTTAGCCAAGAAAATCTTACTTGAAGAGTGGCTAGGAAAAGAATAAAATATGTCTTTTTTTTTTCAGGTTTTCTCCCCAGACCTGCCAGCACAGTTAATTGCTTTATACAATCTCTTCTCCAGTCTCTTCCAGTTGAATTTCCTTTCCCTTTCACCTGTTCCCTCCTTCCCCCTGAACCCCAGACCCCCCTGCCCTGGTGTCTACATTCTCTCCACCCTCTAGGATCAGTAGGAGACTGTTCCAGGTGTCCCTGCAGTCATGGAAATCAGCTGCAGCTGTGTGTGCTCCAGCAGGAGTGGAGAGGATGAGTCAGGCCAGTGCCTGCTCCCTCCCTGGAGATGCTCCTGGCCTGCAGATGCAGGCAGGAGAACGAGCTGACAAAGGGAATTTTCCTATGCTGGATTGTCCATGGCTTACTCCAGAGGCATGGAAAATAAATCACTTCTTTGTCCTTTCTTTCCTTGTTCTTTCTCATCTTTATCACAGCTCCCTGCTTGTTTGGCCAGCTGGTTTGAAGCAGCTGGTGTCCAGATCTGAGGCAGTGCCTTGGTGCTTGGCCGACCCAGGTGTCACACTCCTCCAAGGCCTGGCACCTGCCTGGTTTTCTTCATAAAGTGGTTTCCTTGCTGTGCACAAAGGTAAACTCAGGTGGGGCCAGGACAGAGGCAGGAGCTGAGCTCCTGCTCAGCATGGGCTGAGAGCTTCCCCTTCCAGCCCTACAAGTTCCCCGGATGAATTTCTTCTAGAGGCCTTACTGTGATGTTCAAACAGAGCTCTTGAAAAGATTATAGATACTTGGAAAACATTTCTTCAAAGAAGGCTCTCTCACATTGCTAATTTCTTTTCCTTGGATGAATTAACCTTTATTTAAAGTTGCATTTCCAACTTGCCTGAGGGTAAGGTGTGAGAGGAGGAGAAAGCCCAGAGCTGCAGCTGGAGGGGGGCTGGCAGGGTCTGCCTTGGTCCCACGAGTCCCAGGCTCCTGCATCAGCTCTGGGCTCTCAGGTGGGTGAGCCCCAGTGCTGAGCTCTCTGCCCAGCCGTGGCCAGGGCGGTGCAGCAGGGCTGGGCTTTCTTTTTTGCACTTCTTTTTGGATGTTGTTTCACAATCTGTTTATTTTTTTTACCACCATGAGGTCTGGGCTTCCTGTCTATCCTTCTCTATCCCTGAACAAATTCTGCCCTCAATACCCATTTTCTGGCTTTTGTTTTTATTTTTGTCTGTTTTCAGAACTGCCTTCACTTCCCCTTCTAGGCAGGATGAGTTTAAACCAGTGTTTCCTCATTTTTCTTCCATGCTTCTCTTTAAGGTGTATCTCTGAATTGCTGAAAATTATTTTCAGGTTGGGGAATTTGGCTTTGTTTAAGGGGCGAAATTCTCCATTATATATGTATTGTCCATTATATATATGTAGGCAGTCTGTTTTCAGAAAGGTCTGATTTTGGAAATCAGCTCTGGTTCTCCTTTCCCATCCATGCATCTCCCCTGGGGCAGCAAAGGCTCAATTCTCAGTTTCTCAGGATTCCTGTCACCCAGTGGTGGCCACAGTGGATTTCTGGCACTGGGCCTGGGCTGCACTGTGCTTTATGATTTTTGACCAATTTTTGTCTTCTGTAGCATTGATTTCCCTCTCCCTTCCTCTCTTGACTAATACCTTGGACTTGTTAACACAGAGGGCATCTTGTTTTTTAGGGTGAAACAAATAATTGCACACTTGGACTGGCTCACTCTAATTTGGTTACAGCTTTTCATTTAAGGATCTCATTAAGGTTCAGCTCTATTTGTATTTATCAGCAGTTTCAAACACATCAGGGTGGTGAAATCAGGAGAATTGTACAATGTTATCTTAAAGAAACACTTGGCCCAGAGATAGGTGTTTTTCTCTGATAAAGGAATAGGACAATTATCCCATTTCCTGTGGGAGAAGCAAATAACAGAACAACCCTTCCAGCCTGCAGCAACATGTGGCAGGAGTTGCTTCAGCACTGAATTATGGTCTTTTCAGCAAGAAGAAAAGACACAGAGAGCACCTATAATGTGGTTTGATTTCTGCTGTGTCCAGCTCAAGTGCTGGAAGCACTGCAGGAGCTGAAGTGCTGCTGCTTCCCAGCAGGAATTACCTGAGTGGAGAGCAGGGGGCTGTGGGCCAGGTGGTGACAGTGACAGTGAGCTCTGGGAGGCTCTGCTGCACATCTGCTCATTGCCTTTCCCTTGGAACTTTCTGGGTGTTCCCTCCCAGTGTTTATCCACCCCTTTCAAAAAACTGTCCCCAAAAATGGGGGTTGTGGTGTCACAAGCTCCATCTAGCAGCAGTGAAGCACCAGGGAGATGTTTCAGGTGATCAGTCTGGTGGGGGATAAGAATGGTGATTTCTGGCCAGAGGTAAGAGGGGTGGTGGAAGGACAGAGTCAAAGGAATTGGTGGCTTGGACACAGGGATAAGGCACAGTCCCTCCTCCTGCTTTGTGTGGAGGTTTGCCTGGATGGATGGATGGATTGCATCCCATACAAAGGGCTCTGTTCCTTCTGGAAGGAGGGAAAAAATGCCACCATGGCTTCCTTGGCAGTCTGTGAGCAAGAAGAAGCAGCTTTTCGTGCTGTAGAGATGCCACCTTGGCTTAAAAGAAGATTTTGAGTGCACAGCAAAGAGTTGATGGCTGTGTGTGAAAGGCTTTATCTACTCCTGCAAGTCATCCCTGCTCACGGAGGAAGCCTCCTAGCAAGACCTGGTTTGAAGAGCAGGAGATTTGAGGTGGTTGGAGGCTTTCTTGAAGGAATGGTCACGTTTCCTGCCTCTTCCAGCTGCTCCAGTGGGTGTTTCACCCTCTGCAGCACTGCAGTTTGCACAGGACCAGGTGAGGGGTACAAAGCTGAGGACAGAGAAACCAGGACAGGAGACATCATGAGAAAAGTGTTCCTGCTGAATCTGTGAAAGTCACCACGATTCAAAGCACAGCCTCACACTGGGAAGTGAATCTGCTGGCACAGGGTTTGCAGGGGAATTTGTCCTCCTCGTGTCCAGACCCTGGGTTCCTGCATGCTGACCCCTCCTTTGGGGAAGGACATCCTTACAGGCCCCTCATGCCTTGCATCTTGGCTTTTGCTGGGTCATGCTTTCTCATCCCTTGGTGCTCCTAGTTCTGATGGATTGGGTTTTACCTTGGTTTTTACCTCCTAGTTCTGATGGATTGGGGTTTTACCTTTGGAAAGATATGTGCTTTGCTAGCAGCAGAGTTAATACACTTCTATGGCCCCATTACTCACAGTTGGCTGCTCTTCCCTGTCAGGGAGGTGGAAAAAACTTCCTTCCCTGGCAATAAGATCAAGATTTCAACCATTCCTTATATTCCTGACAAGCCATGGCTTGTAGGCTTTAAGAGTCATCAGTCCCCCATTCCTTTTATTGTGATGACCTCTTGAGTTAGGAGCATTAGGAATGTTTTCTGGTTGGTGATGGAGAAGAGTCCAAATTATCATCTCCCACACCTGTGCTGGGCCCTGAGAGGCAGAGGAGTGTTGCTGTTGGTGGAAATGCTGCCTGGGGCAGGGACTCTCCCACCCCTGTTCTTCCAAATGGACAGAAGGCATCTGGCACTGCTTTTATGTCGTGGTGCTGCTTCTGTAGATGGCAGGGCTATTTAGAGGTTTATGGGAAGGCTAATCTACCTGTCTGCATGTTTTATAGCAGCTTTGCTCCCAAAGAAGTGCAGAGGCTGGCTGTGAATTTCCAGCCTGCTTTAGTGCTTGGCAGTCTTGGGGAGAAATGTTGATAATGCTGGCTTGGGAAGTGTATCCCATCTAATGCTCAGCCCACACTGTGTCCTGGGGCTGGAAACTCCTCCTTTTCCTCACCCCACAAAGCTGGGGGCTCCTCCCTGCCCTGCAGTGCAGCTCAGTGCTGTGGTCAGGGAGGACCAAGGCAAACTCCATGCAGCCCACTCTGCCTGGTGCCAGCGCTGCAGAGATGCCAGCAGGAGCTCTGAGCTCTGCTGGAGCTTGGTTCTGCAGCAAGGTGTGCAGCTCCAGAGGAAGGGTGGCTTTAACACCAGGTGCCTGCATGGATCTTCTCTTCCACCTTGTTTTCCCCCTTTGCCACTCTGTGGAGGAGCTCAGCACCCCATCACCACATCCCCACCCTGTGGGGTTTCAGGGCTGGGTTCCTCACCAGCAGAGATCAGACCTTCTCTGGGGTGATTTTTTTTTAGCAAATACGTGTCAGCTGAAGGGAATCCCCAGTTTGTGTTGCACAGCAGAGGAGCTTGGCTCTGTGTGCTCTCCTGGAGGAGCAGGGCAGGATCCCAGCCAGAGTGGCCCTGTGCTTACCAGGCTGCTGTTGGGAAGGGCACAGGCTCCTGCTGTGACCCTGGGGGGATGCTGGGGCTGCCAGGCTGTGAAAGCCCAGGAAAGCTGGGACAGGGATTTTCCTGCCTGGTGCTGAGCACAGTCCAGTAGGGAGGGTTAATGTAAACAGGCCAGGGGCTGCTGGGCTGCACCCAGGGCAAGGTTGAGGGATTGGGGTGGTTTTACACCAGCATAATCAGAATTCAGCCCATATTTTTTTGTTGTTTTGGACTGTCAAAAAAAAAAAGTAAAAAAAGCACTGCTTACAGTGTAACATACACCAGTTTAAGTGAGATTAAGTCTTTAATAATTTAGCACTCTGCTGCTATTTGAACCTGATTCAAACTCAGTCATTTCCTTTACCAATACTCTAATTATGTTCTCCCTTTGATCTGCAGGACTGTGTGCAATTAAACCAGTACAAGCTGCAGAGTGAAATAGGCAAGGTAAGTACTGGGGCTCATGTTGGTCACACCAGCCTGTGTCACACGTGTGAATAGGGCTGGAAAGATTGTGCCAACCCAAGGGACATCACTGGCCAAGGCTCCTTGCAAGCTGTGTTTGGTTTGTGGGTTTTGTTTTTTTTATTGTTTTTGAGAGTTTTTTCCATATAAGTTTGAGCAAGTTTTGTTCAAGGTCACAGTGGAGTTACTTCCTTTGAAATCTAGATTTATTTTTCCTCCTTCAGAAGGTGGTTAAGCTGGCTCTCTTTCAGGGCTGTTTGCTTGCCAAATGTAACACTAAGAGCTTTTGATACATTAATACACACAACAAGGAAAAAATAACCCAAAAAGATGATCAGGGTAGGTGTTTGGTCCCCATCAGGACTAGTTAAACTTTTTATGTCACGTGAAATGTCTGTTTAATTCTAGTGCATGTTTAAAGGTGCAGAATGATTCAAAAGAGATTTTTGTAAAGTTTTTTAGAGGTCTGGGCTGGTGAGCAGCTCAGACACCTGCACATCTGGCCCTCTGCCACCACTGCAGATGGCTCAACAAGCAGTGGTGCTGTCTGGAAGCTGTCTGCCTCTGCAGCTGGAACACTGCAGCCAGCGGAGGCTGCACCCTGAGCTGCAGAGACCATCAGAAGTTTAATGAGCCCAAATGCCTCCAAAATGAGAGGCCCAGGCTGTGGGATGGCACCCCCACCATCTGTGCCATGGGCTGTGCATGTGGCTGCTGGCAGGGGGGAGTAAGGCTGCAGGTACCACCCAGCAGGTGCCATCCCAAACTCACACACAGCTTCAGACCCACTTATGACTTTTGTATGATTTAAGGAGAGTGTGAAACGTTCTCTCAGGTGGATTTCTCCCTGCCTCCTCCCTTCCCTGTGGGTCACAGCAAGCAGGTGGGCACTGTGAGGTTGGTAGAGGGCCTGCTGTGCTTTTGGATCAGCCAGATGGCTCTTTAGTCTCCAGAATGTTATTTCAGCTCTCAGTGAAGTCACGAGAAATATTTTAAAGGCTCTGGTGTTCATCCAACTCATTTATTCAACAGGCATGTGTCAGGGATAATACCTGATCATGTCTTACTTGCATAAAATGAGAATTTATTGGGACTTTGAAAAAACAGCAGTTTGGAGCTTGGTTTCAGGCTGTCCCTGGAGCTGTGGGTACAGCAGCAGTCCAGGTCTGCATCTGCCTGGGCAGCAAGTGGTTGGTGGAACAGGAAAGTTGTTCATGCAGAATTTCCAAATTTGCACCAAAAAGAAATCTGATTGAAAATTTTTCTCTCTGCTCCCCACCCATCTGAGTTCAGACAGACATGGTGGCTTTGGCTCAGGGCAGGAGGTGGTGGGCTAGTACTCAACTCCTCCAGACATGGATAATCCTCCAGTGGCTCCAACAGAGCTGCCAAAACTTACAGCTTTGTTGTAGGGTCACACCACCTGCAGACTGCTCCAGGCTCAGCATGCTCTGGGGAGTTGGGGGTTGGTTTTTTTTCCCAGCTGTGATCCACCAGCCTCGAGCAGCAAGAGGATGAGGTGAAGCTGCTGAACTGACTGTACAATTCCTGTTTATTTTCAGGGCTCCTACGGCGTGGTGAAACTGGCCTACAACGAGGACGATGACAAGTACTATGTAAGTGTGCCTCTGCTCTGCTCCTCCTGGCTGCTGCTGTGCCCCCTGGCAGCTGGCTGCCCTCTACCTGGCTACTTCCAGCAGGTGCCCTTGTGGTTTGGGTGGCTGGCAGGAGCTGAGGCTCCTCTGGGTGCTTTATGTAACAGGCAGGCTGCAGAAGCATGTTGCTGATCTGCCTTGGCAGCTCCTAGCTATGAAGCAGGTCACCTGAAATTAGAGGCACGTGGGTGGTGGCATTCAGCACCTGCTGTGCATTGGAAGCCTGGCCTGGAAGGAGCAGGAGTGTTTTGTAAGGAAATGGGGGCGTTGCTCAGGAAAATTCTTAGCAGTGAGCATCTCAGAGTTAGAGAGTTTCATATTCCAAAAGGCTGCTTATGCTGAAGGCTCCTGCTCTGGGCCTCCCCTTTCAGAAGGAGCTGAATCCCATGCATCCCAGCTGGAATTCCTGTGAAATCTGCCTGCAGATGTGCTCATGTCCCTGGGCTTGCCCTGTGGCTTGTTTTGTTCAGGCTGAGAGCAGGAGCTTGAAGCAAGGAAAACTTCCTTGCTATGTGTGGCTGTGCCTGGAGGCTTCTGGAAAGAGCTTCCAGCAGGGCAGGAATCTGCTGAGCAGGGCTGCGTGGTTGCAGGGCTGTTGAACCTCAACCCAACACAGCCCTGCTGCTCCACACTGCATTTGGTGAGAGTGCCCTGCTGTTGCTCCTGCATGTGGATGAAAATGAGCCCATCAGAGCAGCCAGGCAGTCTTGTGTGCTGCTGCTTGTCCCTGCTGCCCTTGGGACAAAGGGGGATAAGAATGTGTTGTGGAACATAAAGCATGCTCATTCCCCACTGCTCCCCAGGCAGTTTTTCCTCCCTGACTCTTTATTACAAGTGACACACCAGGTTGAAATGGTCAGGTGGGAACTGTGTGCCTGTGGGTGTTCCTTAGCCTTTCTGTGCTCCCAGCTGGTCTGGAACTGCAGCAGGAATGTCTTGAAATGAAGGATGGAAGAGATGAGACAAAAATCTGGACAAGGTGCCCTGGAGCTGGCCAAGGAAAGGAGCCACAATTCTTTCCATCTCCCACCCTTTCCAAGCTGATTCACAGCTGCACCAGAGCTTTTTCCAGTGGCTCCTTTTCTGTGCTGCCCTCCAAATCCTCCCTGCCATGCCCTGCAGCAGGATGGCTTGTTCTTCAGAGAGTGATGGTGCCAGGCCTGGCTTCCCTCATCCATCTGTCCCACCAGCACAGGCACGCCAGCACCAGTAGCACAGAGTGGAAATGCATCACATCCATAAATCATGTTTATTTCCAGCTGAAAATATTTTTCCTTTGAAAATTGTAATCCTTACATTTTTGGCACTGCCTTTTTGTTCAGGAAATGCCCAGAGGTGGGCAGGGCATCTGTTACAGCTCAGCAGGGGAGAGCTGGGTTTAGGGTGGCATTGCCTGCTGCATTCCTGCCCCTCTTTTGGATGCAGATTAACCCCATGGATGTAGATTTAGCTGGTCGAATCAAAGCCAAAAGTGAAAGCCTGTGTGCAGGTTAGCCTGCTGTGTGTTAGTTAATCCCCACTTAATCTTGGTTTCTAATCTAAGCAAACACTTAAAGGTGCTGCAGCCCGGGAGGGGCACTGTGCCTGGGGGCAGTCTGAGCCTCACCTGAGGCAGGGCACAAAGACCCCCTTAGTGCCAGCCCGGCAGGGATGTGCTCTTTGCCTCACCCCATCCTCCTTTTGGGGTTGAGCTGGATCCTGGGCTGAGAAGCTGATCCTGGCAGGTGTGTGGAGGGATGGGCCTCTCTGAACTCTGTCCATGTCCCTTGTTGTCCTCTTGGCAGGGCAGGGGGAGCTGTCCCCTTCCCCAGTGCAGCCACATGTCTGGCACCTCATCCTCCCAGCCACCTCTGCTTGTTTTCTGGAGGGCAAGCCATGGTGGAGACACCTCTGCCTTTCCTAAACATTCAGGCAGCTCAGGAGCTGGCAGACTTTCCAAATCTTCAGAGAAACAGTAGATTGTACAGTGTGCCTGACCCTGGAGCTCTCCCAGAGCTGAGACAGCTTCCATCCTGCCCTGCTTGTGCTTCCCATCCCTGTCATATCCCTCAGCAGTGCACCCCGGGGGTACCTAATGACTCCTGCCAGCAGTTAATAGAAGCAATTGGGATTCTAATAGTTGGGAAGGGCCTTTTCTGGGTGTTTTCCCCCAGATTTAGCTCTGGATGGTGTTTTTTGTCTCAGTGGTGAAAAGCAGTAAGAAGTAACTGGAGGAAATCAGCTCTTGGTTGGCCTTTAGTGAGCAAGGCCAGGTTGGATGGGCTTGGAGCACTCTGGTTTAGTGGAAGGTGTCCTTGCCCATGCAGGGAGATGGAACTGATGATCTTTAAAGTCTCTTCCAACCCAAATCATTCTATGATATTCTGCTTCTATAACTGATTTTCATTTGCTGTGGTTCAGCATGAGGCCAGGGTGTTGCTGCCTTCTTTACTGTCTTTAAGCTACTGTACTGCAATAACAAGGACCAAAATTGTAAAGAAATAAGAAAAAAGAATATTTAGGGCTATAATTCATTGTGGCTTCTGATTTTTGCTGAGGTGTGGGACTCTCTGCTAGGTCCCTTCAAAAACGCAGAGTTTCTAGGGAGCAAGGACTGCATATAGCTCCTGTCAAAGCCAAAGGAAAGATTGCTGCTGCTTTAATGAGTTTTGGATCTGGCCTAGAATTAGGAAAAACTCTCAAGAAAAAAATTCAACCGCCTCATTTGGGAAAAAAATGTAGATGGGTTGTGTTTACTTAGTGGGCTTTTTACCTTCCATTAAAGATGAGGGAGTGCTTCTAAGAGCTTTGCCCTTGGTTGCTGTGTGCACCACAGTGCCTGGAGGGCTGTGAAGTGTCCTGGCTCACATCACTGGATGCAGGGAATGTGTTAGACCATGGAAACTGGAATTTCTGCACAGGTATGTGAGCCAGTGCTGCCTCCAAGGAGCAGACCCCACTGGAAAGCAGAGCAGGCTGCCAGAGCACAGAACCCTGCTGCTGCCGGGGCACAGGAAGCTGTTACAGCAGCTTCTGTGGGGCTCTGCCAAAGAGCCCTTTACACTGGAAAGATTTCAGTGTCTCAGTTTGAAGGAGATGCTTTGATGATGACTAAGGGAAAAATCAAAGGCCAAGTTCTCTGAAAAAGTAGCAAATAAAAAGCAAAGGCAAATGTGTCCAAGCAGAGATCTAGATTGGAATCATTGTGCTGATGGAATTTGATTCTTTGAAGCCTCAGGTCATGTCTTCCTCCTATTTTCAATCTCTAAATCAGCTTGCAAAGGAAAGTGGTTATGATGGGCATTTGTTATGCTACTGCTGGAATAAGGCAACAGCATTTATATTGTGAGTGGATTTTTCTTTTTTTCATCCTTCTTTTTTAATCTTGTTTCCTAAGAAACAAGATTTGTGTGATTGTGCTCTCTGCCTCTGTTTGTACCTAACAATCTTTGCACTGAGGGCTCTTTCCTTCCAAGTTTCAGTGATGGGGAGAAATTCCTTCCAGGTTTATGAAAGGAGTGGCTGAACAAAGGGCTGCTGCTGAGAAGGTGGCCAGCAGCAAGCCTTGAACTTTCCAGCCCCCGGAGAACTGCTTTGGTTGCCATCCAGGAGGAGAGGGGAGGCAGAGCTCCTGCATTTCCCATCCTCTGGCTCAGTAACAGCTGCTGAACCCCTGCCAGCTGCACTCAGAGCAGTGGGCAGCAGGGAGCTGATCTCTGGCTTAGTCTGACACCCTGTGCTGTTCAGCTGAGGCTTTGAGGGGCTGGGTCACCCGGGGTAGCAGCAGGATCCTCGGGAGGCAGCTGGGGACAGAGCTCCAGGACAGCATCCCTGCTGTGGTGGCACAGCCCGGTGGTGGAATTCTGCTGGTGGGAAAAAGGGTGACAAACACAGGAGCAGGATTTTAAGGCTATGGCAGCTGTATCTGTCTGGTTTAGGATTTTCTTTCAGGTAAAAACACTCCTCTTTGCCAGCAGAGCTTCCCTCTCAGCTGCTTTGTCTGAGGGATGTTGTTGTTAGGCAGGACAGGTGAGGAAGGGCTGGAAACACTCTCTGGTGTGTTCAGCATTCCCACAGAGGATTTAGGTGGTTAGTAGGGATTTTTGAGCAGCATCCCACTCTCCTGGGAGCTGTAGGTAGGGACTGTGCACAGGCTTCTGCCCTTGCAGTTCAAGTCTCTCCCTTAGCAAACAAAATGATATTCTGAGCACTGTGAGAGCATCACCAAGGACAGGTGATGCTTCCCTTGGTGATAAGGTGATAAGTTCACTTGGCTCAATCATTTTGTCACCCTTCCCTCCCAAAACTAATGGCCTTTTTGCCCTTGTCATTACCCACAGCTTGTGGTCCGGCTGCTGTCACAGGCATTCCTCCTCTCCATAAACCTGGGATCTCCTTTCCCTTAGGCAGCATCCCTGTGGCTTCCAGCTGTAGGGTTGATAGGAAGAGAGCAGTAAACTTAGATAATAAACATACACCAGAGAAAAGCACACAGTTCCTGCTGTTTCTCAAAGGGAAATGTCAAGACCCGTGTCCACGCGGGAACAGTCGGGAGGAGGATGTGTGGAGGAAATCTCCAGGCTCCCTCTTTTCCTGAGAAGACTGAAGCAACACTTGCCTGTGCAAAAGGAAAATCCCTCAGCTTGGCTCTGAGCTGGTTCTTTATCAGAAAGGCATTATCTGGGTAATTAGCTCTGCCTGTGAGTACAAATGTCTCTGGCTCTGTCATGCATTGAGCCCAGAAGGAGAGGTTTGCTGAAGCATCCCTGAGATGCTCCCATTACAGCAGCCACGATTCAGGAGGAAGCCTGGCCCTGCCAGCTCACAGTAATTAAAGTGAGGCTTCACAGCCACGTGCCCTCCTCTCTGCTCTTGTGATAATTAAGTGGTTCTGGCCTGTAGCATGATGAACTTTGCTTTTTGTCCCTGTTTGAGTTTGTCAGCGCAGTGGGACAGGTCCTCTCTTCTGACCCAGCCCTGCTTGTGCAGGAGCAGATACTGGTGCTTCAAAACTGGCATAAGTATATCCTTGTGCTTCTTTCAGCAGTAGTGGTGCTCTGCAGTCAACTCTCCTACCCCCCTACTGCCCCTCAAGTGTCCTTCAAGGCGTTTGGGTGACAGCAGTAGCTCCTGTTCCCTCCATTTCTGCCCCCAAGAGCAAGTCTTGTCTTAGCTATTGCTCCTTTCTGTGCCTTCCTGCTCCCTCCAGCTTCTCCTGGGAAGGACTGTCCTGATGTGGCCATGGCTGGTGGTGGTAGTTCAGTTCTTCAGGCTGAGGAACTCTCAGCAGCAAATTTCATCTTCTGCTCTGTCCTTTTTCTGAAGCTCCTTGCCAGAAGGCAGCAAAGACTCAAGATGGGATTGGAGCAAGAGGAGAGTTCTCCTCCTGGCTTGGCAATGGTTGAAAGAGAAATGGATGTACCAATTCCTTTGATTTTTCTCATAAATTTTCATGATGGAGAGATAAAATGGGAAGCGTAGGAGGTCCTCCAGGCTTGGTCCTGCCCGTATTTGGAGGTGGTTGTGCACATCTTGGATCCTCTTTCAGCAGACCATGACTCATTTGGCTGCCTGTATTGGACACAGAGCTGTGCTAAGTCATAGATAAGCACTTCTGAGTCTGTCTCTCAACACCATCATTTCTAACAGTTGGTGTGGAGCTGTCAGGCAGGATTGAAACACTGCACAGTGTCTCTTCTCAATTACACGGGTGCAAATCCAGAGGATTTCACTGGATCAGTACCAAAAATAACAATCCTGTCAGCAAGCCATGAACCTGGCTGCAGTGGGAGCACTGAGGGGAGGTGGGGATGTTTGGGCATGTGGTGCCATCATTGCCAGGGACAACAGCTTGGGAAGGAGCTCACTGGAATGGCTTTGGTGACATGTTCCTGCTATGAGTGTTAAAAACAGGTAGAGTCCCTGCCTCTGTGGTAGTGATGCTAAATTCCTGGGAGTTTGTGTCCTGCAGGACTCCTTGGTTGGTTAGATTGTGTAGGAGTCACTCCAGTGTGAATTACATATTGGATGCTATGTTAAGAGGAGTGACCCCTTAGGCTAGGGGAGGAGTGAGTGGCCATCCCAGCTCCTGGAAGCACAGGCTGTTTTCCCAAGCAACTTGTACCATGAGCTGGTTTCTCATTAAATATTCATCTGCTGGGCCACTTGAGGGGTTTGAGTGGCTCTCCAAAAGGTTATTAATGCACAGAGCAGCTGGAGGCACAAAGACTATTTATTAAATTCAGACTGCCTTTTGCCACTATGCTAATGCCAGCTGGATGGCAGGAAGAATTGTCCTGACCCCTTCCCACACCTCAGCTGCCTGGGTTTAGTTTCCTTATACCCCCTGACAAGACAAAACATAAGATAAAGCAGCCTTGAAGTGGCTCTGAGCTGGAGCATAGCCATAACATCATCCAAAGCAGTGGGTCAGCCAGAGAAACCCACTTCTTCCCTCAAGCTTCTGCCCCAAATGCAGAAATTTGGCTCCTTTTTCTTTGTCCATTTGAAAATAAATCAAAGAAAGATGCAGTGCTTTCAGGAAAGCCTGGGTCAGTGTCTGTCTGGTGTGGCCACCACTGACCAGGACCCTTCTCTAGGGTGAGCAGCAGCCCTGAGACATTCCCTGATGCACAGCATACTCCAGGTCACAGCAGTCAGCTCTTTGGCTCTTGTCCAGTTTTAACACTGCTTTTTCTTCCTCCTCCAGGCTATGAAAGTCCTCTCCAAAAAGAAGCTCTTGAAGCAGTATGGATTTCCACGTGGGTATCTCACATTTGGAGGTCTGCCTGTTGTCCTCAGCCAAATCTCTCTGTAGAAACATGGTCTGCAAGGAGGGAGCTGGTTAGAAGGGGGTGGTGAGGGGCAGATACAGCCTCAGGGAAATTCAACACACTCAGTAATGAGATTCCTGGATCTCGTTTTTGTGAGTCTCTTTGAAGTGGTGACTTAGGCAGGATGCTGCCCTCCTTTCCTTACCCCTGGGACAGCCCCTGGGTGCAGGCTGGGCTGTGGGATGCCCCAGACCCATCTGGTCTGAATGGGAGAGCTCAGTTCCAGGTGGGAGACTGCAGAGCTCTGGGATGAGAACAAGGTGATGAGATCTTCCAGAGCAGCTGGAGGGGTGTGCAGAGGGGCTGCTCATCCTGTGTGCAGGAGCTGCTGCCAAATGAGGAATTCTTCACTCTGCTGTCACACTTGCAGGTCGGCCTCCTCCCAGAGGGTCCAAAGCATCCTCTGGAGAGCAGCCCAAGCCCATGGCACCCCTGGACAGAGTCTATCAGGAAATAGCCATCCTAAAGAAGCTGGACCACATCAATATTGTTAAGCTGATAGAGGTGAGCTGTTTCTCCACGCTAAGTTATGCTGAAACAAATCTGGTTTGTATTGCAACAAGAGGATTTTTCTTTAACTGCTCCTACTTCAGCCAGAATTGGCTTAAAATAGATGTTCAGAAATTTAGGCTGGTGATTCCAAGCGAAGTCTTACTGACTGTGTAGTATAAACTGCACTCTCACCCTGAGCTCTGGGCTGGTGCCCAGGAGAAGGCAGCTCACTGTGCTGGTAGAAATAGCAGTGAGCTTTGATCACTGAAACTTGTGTGCAGACAAGCCTGGGAAGGTGCACAAGTGCAAGGCTTCAGTGCCATTTCAGTTATTGACTGAGGTCAGTTTAGGACAAGCAGTGCCTTTATTGGTAGGCTGTTTCTCCAAATTCAGGTAGAAGCCCAGATTTTTCTGGAGACTGGAAAATCTGTCCTCCAAAACCCCCCCAAAAAACCCTATCCTCCAAAATCCCTCCAAATTCTCTGCAGAACTTTCTAAATATTAGCCTAAATTGTTCTCAGTGTTCTGAAGCTCAGCACAGTGTACTGGGAGTATTGCTTGCCTAAAAATCTTTTTTCCTGCTGTTTTTCCCTTTATTTCTCTGTGATCTCTCAGGTCCTTGATGATCCTGCAGAGGACAACTTGTACATGGGTATGTGAGTCTCATAAGCTAACAGAACCATCTGGGCTTGGGCCTGGTGATGCAAGTGACACCTGCCAGGACTCGGGGTCAGTGCAGGAGGAAACTTGTGCCAACTTCAGCAGACTTTTTTTTTTTTCTGCCAAGTTTAAATGCCTGTAAATGCAGCTGGGATGGAAAGGCTCCGTGCAGTAGGGTAAGGCAAGCTTGTGTCAGTACAGCTGTGCACATCTCTTTGCCATGGGGACACTGAAAAGAGCTGACAGCTGCTCTGCCCTCCCCTCTGTAGAGCTGATTCCAGTCCCAGAGCCGGGAGGGAAGAGAAGGGTGCAGGATGGTTTCCTTGTCCTCCTGCTATGGAACTTCTTTAGGCTGTAGAGAGTGGTGGTGACTCCAGAGTCACTCCACTGTTGCTTGGGAGTGTTCCCTGTGACCCCTGCAGAGACTCTGACCACCCTGCTGAGCCTCAGGGGCTCCTAAGGGAGCAGCACTCCCACCTTTGGTGGGGAAGCCATGCCTGACTGGGTGTTTATGCAGAGGGCGAGGGAATTCCACCCATTTTATCTTCCTCTCCTCCAAACCCTGACAGTACCAGCCATCCCTAACCCCCATTTGGGTAAACATTGAGGGTCAGGCCTGGGAGGCCCTGAGGTGCCCTCTGAGATGGGCTGGAGGAGGGGAAGACTGACCCTTTTACAGCTCTGCTTCCCCAAACTCTTTCCTGATGAAGCAGGTTCAAAGACTGCTCCTCATGAAATAATTATGGGACACTTCTGAAGCTGCCTGAAGGAGGACTCTGCCTAGCAAATGAAGCAATTTGCCTTTGAAAGGCCACTTTTCCCTTTGGGCTGAAGCTCCAGTGGCATCTGGCAGCATGTCAAAGTGATGGCACTCGTGGTGGGAGGGTGATGGAGGCTGTTGTTTGAAGGCCTGAACTCCTGGGGATGGAGGAAAGGGGAGAGATGAGGTAGAAAGTTGCAGAAGGAGAAAAAAAACCCAAAACTAAACCAAGCTCTATCTGTGGAGCAAAAGAACCATCCCAGAAATAGCAGCAACAGCAGCAGGACAGGTGGGGAGTCTCCTGGTCCTGTTGGAGGTTGTGCTGGTCCCTGAGTGACAAACAGTGGCCATGTCCCTGTTGTCCATGTTCCACCACCCCTTTCCTCTGCCTGGGATCCCCTGAAGTTCAGGCACATCAAGCTCCTGCCTCTGCAGTTCCCTTGGCAGAAGGAGTTGCACTGCTCAGGGCTGGACATCCTGCAAGTGAGTTTTCACCCCCCTGCTGCTGCCCCAGCTGATGATAACTGCACCTTTCTCCATCCAAAAATGACCCCCACTGCAGAGCAGATCTAGAGGAAGTGGTGCTTGCTGTGATCTGCTGGGATCAGGCACTGCTGTGAGCACTTGGCTTGTGTCACTGGGATGGGATGTCAGCAGGCACTGAGCAACCTGCAAAGGTACAGGGTGGTGGAATAATGAAGTGCTTCCACAAGCTGCAGCTTCTGGAGGGCAAGATGAGCCAATGCAGCCTGAATTAGCTGCCCTGTGTGTTTGTACCTTCAGAGGATCCCACACCCCAGTGCTTTGGGGAGGGGATCTGCTCAGATTTTTTGGTAGGCACAAGAAATCCCCATGTAATTCATGGGGAAAAAGCTCTCCTACTCTAGGTAAAAGCAGATCTTTCTCCTGTTTGCAGAACAGGGCAGAGCAAGATCACAAAAACACTTCTTCCCAATCTCCTAATCAGGCACACAAACTCATGTGCTCTGCAAACCTCAACAAATCCTCTTCAGTGGCTCCTGCCAGGGAGTGTTTGGCTCTGACACAGTTGTAGCTGTGCTGCTGATTGACACAGCAGAAATGGAGCAGCATGTTCTTACAGCATCTCCTTTGCTATCAGCAATTTAGTGGAAATATCACACCAAACACCCTCCCTTGGAGGTACAACAGGGCTCAAATCAACCAGGGCTGACACCCAGAGCAGCAGCACTGTGGTTGATAAATTAGCACCCACTGTCTCCCTGTACGGAGCTGCCAGGAGGGAGGATATTTGTCTGAGCTGAAGAGATTAATATTTTCATTTTACATTCTCTGGTGTCCTTGTCATAGGTGAGGGAAGAGAAATGAGTGGAGATAAATTGATTTTGCAGGTATGGGAATGGATGTGTTTTTGTAGGTGCTGAATAACAAATAAGTCCAGGCTGCTCTTCTCATTCATTCATGGTTTATTTCCTTTTCTTGCAGTGTTTGACCTCATGAGGAAAGGGTAAGTAGCCCTCCTAGGACCCCTTCTGTTGAAAATTTTGGTGTTCATCCTCAGGTTCCCATGTGAAATGGAGGTTTGATAAGTCCAGTGGGGCAAACCCTGTCAGCAGGAGAGGCAAAACCCAGCTTTGCACTGCTACAGCCTGGAATGATGTGGTGAATAGAAATGGGCTGGGAGGACCTGTTCTGGTGCCAGACTCTGATGTGGAAAATAAATTCTATGACAGTTCCTCATCAGGTGGCTGGAAGAAAAGGCTTGAATAGGAATATTCTGCTGGGTTCCAGCCACACTGTGGCTTCCTCTGATAGAAGGGTCTGTGGTTACATCAAGATTTACTTGCCACCTGCTGCCTTTGCCCTCAGCACTGACCTCTCATGGGAGGCTGTTCTGTTGGCACATTCCTTTGGCACAGTAGAAGAAGGGATAAGGTGCTAAGAGGTTCCTCACTGCTCCTTGCTACACCTGCACTGATCCTGCAGCTCTGCAGTCCCAGTGAGGTCGTCATTTCTGTGCCCAGGAGGGAGGAGATTCCCAGAGGGGTTATTTTTCTCTCTGGCCCCATGAACAAGCTGCCAGCTCCAGTGGGTTGCTGGCAAGAGGCTCCCCAGGCTCCCTGGTGATCAGGCTGATGCTGACCTGTGGGAGAGGGAGCTCCTGTAAACAGCTGAGGCTGGGGAACCTGTGGCTCAGCCAAGTGCACCTGGCTGCCTCTGGCAGGAGGCAATTGGACTCCATCAGTGGCTCTGCCAGCCCTGCTCTCACTTCTCCCTGGTTTCAGCAACAGAAAAATGTGCATAAAAGTGGGAGGGAAGGCAGTGGCAGGAAAACACAAATGGGAGATGAAGGTCATCAATCAAATGGGCAGCCAGGGAGAAGAGGGAAAAGCTGCAGGCAGGATTTGCTGCTGGGTGCTGAGGGGAACAGCCTCAGAGCCTGGTTTTGGCAATGGGCTGTTCTCTGGCAGGGTTTGGCTTGCCAGGATGGTGTCCCAGGAGCACTCAGGCAAATGCAGCTCCAGTTAGTGATGTGTGCCCACATGCAAAGCCAGGCTGCTGAGCACAGGCAGGGTTAGCCCCCAGGGCAGCGAGGTCCTTAGCTCCAGCAGGGAACAGCAGATGCTGACCAGCTCTTGCAGCCTCTTTGCCCTCAGCTTTCAGCAGGCACAGGCAGAAGAGGAGCTTGTAGAGGAGTCTGTGCATGCCTCAGCAGTGGCAGCATTCAAAGGAAAGGAGAGGAGAAGCTGACCAGGTAACCTTGGCTATTCAGGCCTGAATGGCTGAGCTCTGGTGGTGGCTGAACCCTGAGCAGCTAAATAGGCTTTTAAAGCAGTTTAGCACAAAGCACTGAAAATATTCCCATTTAAACTTTGAGCTGGTGGTTCATGTCTTTATTCTGCCTCAGTGGAGACCAGCTGCACAGTGATATTGTGTCAGGACTGGGCCCCAGCAGGCAGGACATGCAGTGCACAGCAACAGGCAGTGTCCCCACTGCTGACTGGGATCTCCTGGCAATGCTGGTGCTCACAGCCACGGGCAGCTTCAGCAGGAAGCCAAAGGCCAGGTCCAGCTTTGTTCTTCTCCCACTGGGACTGTCAGTGAGTGGTGTTTGTCTTATTTTGTGCAGTTAATTCTGATGCTGATGAGGGCTCTGTGGTTCTTGCTGGCTCAGGGGCTACACAAAGCCACCCATCACTAGCCAAGCTCAGTAGCCAAAGCATCACCACCTCCAGAGGGAATGGGCACACTCCATCCTGTGCCACAGCACCCAGAGCATTTCAGGAGCCTGGCCCTCAGTGCTGGGCCGTGGTGATGGAGAGCAAACTCCTCCAGCAAGGGGTGTTCCTGCCCTTGTGCAGAGCACTGAGTGGCTGTCCCTGTCCCCACAGGCCTGTCATGGAGGTGCCCAGTGAGCAGCCCTTCAGCGAGGAGCAGGCTCGGCTCTACTTCCGAGACATCGTCCTGGGCATCGAGTACTGTGAGTACCCAGCACAGCAGGGCCTGCAGAGGGTCTGCCCAGCCCCCCCGGGGGAAAGAGATGTGCAGGAAATTCCCAAAGCCTGACTGAAGGCCCACACAGTGTGCATCTGTATGCAAACTATGAGATAAGAAATGCTGACTTAGAAATGCCATGCAATAGGACAGACATGGTTGAAAAAGAAATGGAACTAGAAACAAGTTTCAAAGGATGGCCTTGCAAAAAAGACTGGATACTTTAGAGAAATTGAACTGTGAAAGATGCATTGTAGTAGGACCCACGAGAGGTAATTTTAGATGATTGTCTTTAAAGCATTTACAGCATAGTGTGACTAAAGCTGATAGGCCAAGAAACATGGTATATTGTAATTAAGAAATAGTTGGCTTCTAATTGTGATAGTGTGAATTGTAACATCTGTATTGCTTCACCCTTCATATGAGACTAAAAATAGAATAAAAGTTTTTTAAATGCCTCTCAGTTGCCCCATCTCTGGGTCAGAAAAGGGCTTAGTCCAACACCCCTGCTCAGCTGGGGAGAGGCATCTTGGCCCTGGGGGGCTGTTGGATGAACCAGAGAGGTCCCCTTGGATTGCCTGTGATGGGGCTGCTGTTGGAGCTGGCCCCACTCAGCCTGGGTTAACCCAGGAAGTGTCACAGAACCCTTAGAAAGGACATTGCCTCTCTTTTCATTTCCATTTATTTCTTTTTGGAGACTGTCTTTGAAGGCAACAGCAGAGCCAGAAAATGGGTGTTTGCAGTGTCATGGATTCAGCCAGTCAGCTTCAGCTGGAACAAATCTCTGTCCCTGGCTTAGCACTGCAAGCACTGGCCATGGCAGAGCTGGTGAGCAGCACAGGGAGGATGTCTGTCCTTGTTCTCCCCTGTGCAGAGCCCATCTGAGTGACCCCCTGTGTGTCTGTCCTTGTCCCTGTCTGTGCAGAGTCCATCTGAGTGACTCCCTGTGTGTCTGTCCTTGTCCCTGTCTGTGCAGAGCCCATCTGAGTGACCCCCTGTGTGTCTGTCCTTGTTCTCCCCTGTGCAGAATCCATCTGAGTGACCCCCTGTGTGTCTGTCCTTGTCCCTGTCTGTGCAGAGCCCATCTGAGTGACCCCCTGTGTGTCTGTCCTTGTTCTCCCCTGTGCAGAACCCATCTGACTCCCTGTGTGTCTGTCCTTGTTCCCCTTTGCAGAGCCCATCTGAGTGACCCCCTGTGTGTCTGTCCTTGCTCTCCCCTGTGCAGAGCCCATCTGAGTGACTCCCTGTGTGTCTGTCCTTGTCCCTGTCTGTGCAGAGCCCATCTGAGTGACTCCCTGTGTGTCTGTCCTTGTCCACCCCTGT